TAAGTGCAGGAAACCGACAGCACCTCTCAGGATGACTCGAACAATACGAATAGTTTCGCGGACCTAGTTCGGGCAGCAGACAGAGTTCGGAGCTCTGGATTCGAAAGGCGGACGCGCCTGATGTCTCCGAATCGATTCCAGTGATTACCAGCCATGCAGCCCCCCTACAGCCCGAGTTAAGTGCAGAGAACCGACAGCATCTCTCAAGATGACTCGAACAATACGAATAGTTTCGCGATTCTAGATCGGGCAGCAGACCGAGTTCAGAGCTCTGGATTCAACAGACAAATGCGACTGATGATTCTGAATCAGATTCTGTACGCATCAGCTCTGCAGCTGTCCTGTAGCTCGAGTTAAGTACAGAAAACCGAGAGCGTCTGTCAAGATGACTCGAATAATACGAATAGGCTTGCGAACCTAGCTCGGCTAGCAGACCGAGTTCAGACCTCTGGGTTCAACAGGCGAACGCGCCTGATCATTCTGAATCGATTAGCTGTGCTTACCAGCTCTGTAGCTGTCTTAAAGCTCGAGTTATCTTGAGAAAACCGTCACCGCGTGACAAGATGACCCGAAACGGGCGATCCCGCCTGCCTGCTTTTTGGCAGTACAAGGTACCCGATCGAGCTGAGATCAAGACGGCGAGCGGGAATAAGATCGAATGTCACGGGAAAAAAATACTAGAGCTCTAACGAACGTTCAAATTTTGAGAACAAAATTTTCAACCGACCAAAAGTCACCAAAAGGTCCGTCGAGATTTTTCTTGCCAACTAGCTCTCCAGCGCCCCGGAATCACTCTTAAGCTTCCACTTCCAGCAATAACTTGCTAAGGGAAGCTCTACGAGTTACTAGCTCCACCCCGCGCCGGAATTCTTCTAGCTCATCGATGCCGAAAACATCTACGAGGTACTTGGTAGCGTTCAAAACCCCGAGAGCAAGGGCACACTGACCAGAAAGCTTCCCTGGCGAGCCTTCGAACGCTTGCGTAAAGCCATTCTTGCGCTTGGGGGGCCCCCCTACAGCGCTGCTGGAGCGCTGCCAGAATCGCTTCCATGCGTGCCTGCACGCGCGCAGGCACGCGTGGAAGCTTGCCGGAAGCTCTCCCGGACACGTTGCCGGGCCGGGCGAGGCGCTGCGGGGAACGCGGACAGCCGTGGAAGAGCTCCTGGCGGACACCACCACCGTTCCTAGCTCTCAGCGAGCTCTCCGGGAATTACTCTTAAGCTTCCAGCAATAACTTGCGAAGGGAAGCTCTACGAGTTACTAGCTCCACCCGCGCCGGAATTCCTCTAGCGCATCGATGACGAAGAGCTCTACGAGGTATTACTCTTTAGCTTCCCGCAATAACTTGCTAAGGGAAGCTCTACGAGTTATTATGTCCAAAGAATTTGCAGAGAACGAATAGTTTTCCAGCCCGGACTGCTAGCAGACTAAACTCAGGCGTCTAGTGATTCCCGGAGAGCTCTCTGCGAGCTACAGGGTTTCAGAGTAGAAGCCGGTCGGTGGTGGCGCCCGCCAGCAGCCCATCTTCGCCGGTCCAGAATCCTCGCAGCAGTTCGTTTGAAGTCACAGCGGGTCCGGGAGCGTTTCCGGCACACGTTCACGCGTGCCTGCACGCGTGCAGGCAGGCGTAGAGGCGTGCCTGGCAGCGCTTTCGAAGCGCTTCAGGCGTGCCTGCACGCGTTCAGGCGCGCATGGAGGCGTGCCTGGCAGCGCCCGCCAGGGCACTCCAGAAAATTGTTCATTTCCCCGAGGGTTTCTTCGCTCTCCGGGTTTTGGACGCTACCAATTATCCCATTGCTGTGCTCAATAGTTCTATCTCACTTGCAACATGTAGAAAATACCATAAAGGGGAACTTCACGCCTCATGATTTCCCTTTGATTTTTCGGCCGCTCGGGTTCGGCTTCGCAATATTCCCGGAGAGCTCTCTGAGAGGTAGAAGGTTTTAGATTAGAAGCCGGACGGTGGTGATGCCCGCCAGCAGCCCATCTCCGCCGCTCCACGATCCCCGCAGCGCCTCGCCAGACCCGGCAGCGTGTCCGGGAGAGCTTCCGGCAAGCGTCTACGCGCGCCTGCACGCGTGCAGGCGCGCGTGGAAGCGTCCCTGGCAGCGCTTCAGAAGCGCTCCAGGGGGGCCCCCCAGAGCCCCAGAAGCGCGTCAGGGGAGCTTCCGAGGGCTCGCCAGGAAGGCTTTCGGGTGTGTGTCCTCCTTGCTCTCCGGGTTTTGGACGCAGCCAAGTACCTCGTAGAGCTCTTCGACATCGATGAGCTAGAGGAATTCCGGCGTGGGGTGGAGCTAGTTGGTCGACCCGACCAGAAAGGACGAAGTGGCAACTTTTGGGTGGTTTTGCCAATATTTGAAAAATATTTAACCATTTATTTTGAGAAAGCAGATTTTTCGCACCTGTAGACGACTATGAGGGCCTCGGCGTCTTAATATGAGCTCTCTAGATGCACTTTGACTATCAAAAAACTTGGCGCAACCAACTTTATGTCAAAATGAAAAAAACATGTTTTCTCTTTTTCGAGAAATGCTTCCAGAAGCTCTCTCTTTTAAAGCTGAGCACTCTCACGCGTGCCAGGAGCTCTACGAGGTTCCCGGCGGTGACCAGGTTGACGGTTCACCGCCGGCGCCAGTAACTCCCCTGATCCTCCGTTCTCGAAAAATTTGCATCGTGAGAGGGTGTCGGAAAGTAAGCTGCATCTTGCAAGAGTGTGCTGCGATTTCCAGCCTGGGTCGCAACGTGAAAATGCATCTTGCGGTAGCGCCGCCCGCCGCGAATCCCTCATATTTCGGGCTCGAAATTGCAGTCGCGCCGCGCTCGAAATTGCAGCCTCCCGCTCGAATTTCGGAAGGCTGCAATCGCGAACGCGGCGCGACTGCAATTTCGAGCCCGAAGGATTCGCGGCGCGCGGCGTTACCGCAAGATGCATAGTCACGTTGCGACCCAGGCCGAAAATCGCAGCGCGCTTTTGCAAGATGCAGTTTACTTTCGGACATCCTCCCGCGTACAACACATACTACACATACACACATACAACACGCGCAACACATACACACGCACAACACACGTATACATATACGACACGTACAACGCACACAAAACATTCTTATGGACAAACATATATATATACAATACGTACAATACATCCAATACATACATTTAGACACATAAAGCCATGCCATACATATACACACATACATATACATATAATGCGTGCATATATTGATCCACATATAGTACCTTCAATACATACATATAACACATGCGTGCCACACATACATAAAATGCATTTATACATACACATGCAAATATATCATTACTAATGAAAGCCGGAGTAACGCACGATAGTGCTATTACTTATTGTTGCTACTCTTATAGTAACGCACTGGTAGTAACCATCGAATCATATAGTATTTTAGTATTACTTGTAACGCACGGGTAGCACGGTTTGCAACATCGTATTTTTATTATTATGATCATTATAGCACGGGTAGCACGGGTGGCACGGGTAACGCACGTTCAGCACGGGTAATAACGCACGGGTAGCACCATAGTGTTATTAGTACCATTATAGTATACGCACGGGCAGTAACCATGAATGAAAACCGTAGTAATGCACGGGTAGTATCCATATTATTAGTATCATCCTAGTATTACTTGTGCCGCTACCTGTATGTATTGTTATGCTGACGGGAATGATGATGGTGGTGGTTGTGGTGGTGATGATGATGATGGTGATGGCGACGACGGTGATGACGATGATGTCGATGATGGTGATGATGGTGATGACGATGATGACGGTGATGACAGTGATGACGATGATGTGGTGGTGATGACGGTGATGACGGTGATGTGGTGGTGATGATGGTGATGACGGTGGTGACGATGACGACAATGATGATGGTGATGGCGACGACAGTGGCGGCGACGGTGATGACGATGCTGGTGATGACGACGACGGTTGGTGATGGTGAGAACGATGACGGCGGCGATGGTGGCAACGATGCCGTGTAAAGCACCATGGCCCCAGGGGCCCGCCCAGGGCCCAAGCCCTGCTGGTGGCGGCACCGTCTCGGCCGCGACTGGCGCCGCCAATGGGCGCCAGACGCCCCGTCTCGGCCGCGACCACTCGCCCCGTCTCGGCCGCGACTGGCGCCGCCAATGGTGATGATGATGATGATGATTATGATGCCGACTGCGATTGCGATTGCGATGATGGCGATGATGTCGATCGTGGTGATGTTGGGGACGATGACGATGATGACGTTATCGATAGTGAGATCGATAGTAAGATCGAGGGTGAGATCGGATATCGATAGTGGGATTGATAGTGAGATCGATAGTGCGATCGACAGTGAGATCGCTAGCTGGGTCGATAGTGATATCGATGGTGAGATCGATAGTGAGATCGAAAGTAGGATCGATAGTGAGATCGATAGTGGGGTCGATAGTGAGATCGATAGTGAGATCGATAGTGAGATCGGTGATATCGATAGTGAGATCGATATCGACACCTATAAGTCAGGACAGGCGTGCCCCCTTGGCCTGGCTGGCCCTCCCCCTCCGCCCCCATCCCCCCTCCCCCTCCGTAATCGAGGCGTTCTGGTGCAATGGAGGTCGGTTCCCTCGGGTTGCGCCAGCCAGCAGCAGCGATGGCGAGGCGCGTGCCCATCCGCGTTGCTGTCCCCCAGACGTCCGTTACAGAGATCGCAGATGCCCTCAAAGCGCACGTCGAGAAGCACGGCGTCCGCTCGGCATTCGATCTTGGGCGGTACGAGTCGATCAGTCGGACGCGGGCCGCGCATGGCGCATCTTTGGCGGCCTCTGCCGAGTTGGTGATAGGTTCGGGAAAACTACGCCCCCGCCCCCTCCACGGGCGGGAAGGGGCAGGAGGAGGAACGCGGGGGAAGGATCAGCAGGAGGAGGAGGAGGACGAGGAGGAGGAGCAGGAGGGGATGGGAGGAGAGGGAAGTCACGCCCAGGTGATGGCGTTGCAGTGCGTTCTCGGCCCCACGATGCAGACGCACTACGTGACGTTGCGCGGCGCCGTGCAGACGGTGCTTGCTAAGTGCCCCTCCTCGCCTTTCCTCGTCCATCTCATTGCCCCTCCAAACTTGGATGGGAGGTCGGTGTCCCGCGGTGTCCCGTGGTGAGATCGAGAGTGAGATCGATGGTAGGATCGATAGTGGGATCGGTGGTGGGACCGATAGTGACGTCGATAGTGATACAAACAGTGAGATCGATCGAGTGAGATCGATAGTTAGATCGACAGTGAGATCGTGAATGCGGTCGATAGTGGGATCGATAGTGAGATCGGCGATATCGATAGTGAGATCGATAGTAAGATCGAGAGTGAGATCGGATATCGATAGTGGGATCGCTTGCGAGATCGATAGTGCGATCGATAGTGATATCGATAGTGATATCGATAGTGAGATCGATAGTGAGATCGAAAGTATGATCGATAGTGAGATCGGTAGTAGGATCGATAGAGAGATCGATAGTGGGGTCGATCGTGAGATCGATAATGATATTGATAGTGAGATCGGTGATATCGATAGTGAGATCGATTGTTGTATCTATAGTGAGCCCTAACCCTGAGCCCGATATCCTCCCCCGCCCCCCCGCCACAGGTATCCCAGGGCGCTGGCCAACCACGACCACCTCAGCGACAAGGTGCGGGCGGGCAACTTCGCGGACAAGCTGGGCACGCTGTGTGCCCACGTTCGCCGCCTGCACACGTCGGAGACGCGTCGGCGCCAGGCCCGCACTTCCCCCATCCTCCTCATCCTCCTCCCCCTCCTCCTCCTCCTCCCCCTCCTCCTCCCCCTCCTCCTCCTCCTCCTCATTCCTCATCCTCGTAACCCTACTCCTCCTTATCCCTCATATACCCTTCTCCCTCCATCCCCGCCTTGCACCTCGAGGCGATGGCCCAGTGCACCGCGCCCGAGCGCGAGAAGCTGCTCCGCATCTTGAGCTCGGTCATTCCTCTTCCTCCTCCTCCTCCTTCTCCTCCTCCTCCTCCTCCTTCGATATCCTCCTCCTCCCTCCTCCTCCTCCTCCTCAGCCCCCCCCCCCCCCCCCCCCCTCCCCTCCCTCCACCTCCTCCTCCTCTTTCCCTCTCCTCATGCTCTATGCCCTCCTCCTTTTCGCCTCGTCGCCCCCCTCCTCCCTCTCCTCCTCCTCCTCCTCCTCCTCCTCCTCTCCTCCTCCTCCTCCTCCTCCGCCTCCTCCTCCTCCTCCTCCTCCTCCTCTCCTCCTCCTCCTCCTCCCTCCTCCTCCACCTCCTCCTTCCTCCTCCTCCTCCTCCTCCCCCCCCCCCCCCCCCCCCCTCCCCCAAATTCCCCCCCCCCCCCCCCCCCCCCCCCCCCCCCATCCTCCCCCTCCTCCTCCTCTCCCCCCCTGCCCCTCCCCCCCCCCCCCCCCCCTCCTCCAATCCTCCCCCTCCACTGATCCCCCATCTTCCCCTCATTAGGTCCAGAGCGAGTTCGAGACGCCGCCGCGGCCGCCGCGCCCTCGCGCGAGCCCGTCGCCGCCGCCCCGCGGCGAGGAGCCCACGGGAGGAGGGGGGCTAGGGGGGGGAGGAGGAGGAGGAGGAGGAGGAGGAGGAGGAGGAGGGGGATGGGGGAGGACGTGGAGGAGGAGGGCAGGGAGGGATAACGAGGGCGATGATCCATTCGGGGGGGGCGGAGAGGATTCGGGGGGACGTCGACGAGGAGGCCTGGGGGAGAAAGAGAAATGGGGAAATGGGGGGAGGAGGCGAAGCAGGAAATGATTATGACGAGGATGACGACGATGATGATGCTGTTACTGATGATGATGACGACGGTGTTGTTGATGATGGTGAGGATGGTCATGCTGATGGTGTCGTTGTTGATGATGATGACGGTGGTTATGATGATGGTGACGATGTTTAGGATGTTGATGATGGCGATGATGGCGATGCTGGTGATGGTCATGGTGAGTGTGTTTATCGTGACGTCGATGGTGATGACGATGACGATGATGATGACGATGATGGTGATGGTCATGGTGATGGTGTTGATTGTGATGATGAAGACGACGACGACGATGATGATGCTGATGATTATGATGATGATGATGTTGGCGCTGATGGTGACGACGATAATGGCAGCGATGGTGATTGGGAAGAAGGGGAGGACATGAGGGTGGAGGCGACGACGGCCACCTCTCCTCCAAGATGGCTCTACTCCCCCCTCCCCTCAATATATATATATATATATATATATATACATATTGCTGTCATGTATATTTCCCGCTTACCTCCTCCCCCCCCTTTCGGGGGAGGAGGAGGTGCATGCATGTCGCTGTCATGCGTGCACACACACACACATATATATATATATATATGTATGCTCCTCGGGTCCTCCATCCGTCCTCCTCAGGTCCTCCTCCTCCTCCTCCTCCTCCCTCAGGCCCTCCCCCTCCTCTCCTCCTCCTCCTCCTTGCCCCGAGGAGATGGAGAAGATCGGCGACGAGATCGAGTGGTCGGAGATCGTCGAGGAGATGGCCCTCACGCCGCTCCAGCTCAAGGAGCGCGCGCACGCCGTTTTTGGGTGGCAGGGGCCCTTCTCTCCTCCTCCCCCTTCCTCCTCCTCCTCCTCCCCCCCCCCCCCCCCCCCCCCCCCTCCTCCTCCTCATCCCCCTCCTCCACCCCCCCCCTCTCCTCCTCCTCCCCCTCCTCGCCCTCTCCCTCGTCGCCTCCCTCCTGGAAAGCGCTTCGCTTGACAATCTGATAACTGTCTGATAAATGTCTGACGTCAGACACTTATCAGATGGGGAATGGGAGTGGGGAGTGGGATAGGAGGAGTGGGGTAGAGGGGTGGGAATGGAGTGACGTAAGAGCAGGAGGAGCGACGTATAGCGGGGAATGGGGTAGGGTGCGAGGATGTCTCAAGCGAAACGTTTGTTGAGGGGAGGGCGCAACATTTGTCGAGGATGTCTCGAGCGAGACGTTCGTTGGGGATTGAGGATGTCTCAAGCGAGACGCTCGTCTCAAGCGCCGCGTTTGTTGAGGGTGTCTCACGCCAGACGTTTGTCTCGAGCCAAACGTTGGTGGCGCAACGTTTGTCGAGGATGTCTCAACGTTGGTGGTGCAACATGCGTTGGGGATGTCTCAAGCGATACGGTTGTCTCAAGCCAAACGTTGGTGGCGCGACAGTTGTCGAGGATGTCTCAACGTTGGTGGCGCAACGTGTGTTGAGGACGTCTCAGGCGATGCGTTCGTCTCAAGCGAAACGTTTGTTGAGGGGGGGGGGCGAAACCACTTGGTGAGGATGTCCCAAGCGAAACGTTCGTTGGGCTTTATCACGTCGCTCCGTAGCCATTGTGCGCCGAGTATTTTGGCAAGCGAGCCCATCGGCCCACCGCGCGACATCTCGCGCCATGCCCACGAGCGCCAAGTCCACGAGCGCGGCGGCGCCGCGCGCCGACCCCACCGTCGACGAGTTCGTCGACCCGACCGCCCGCGGCGTGTGGATCCAGCCAGGCCACGGCATTAACCCCCCAGGGCGCGCCATCCCGATCGAGGAGATTTTCCCTTCGAGCCATCGGCAGCTTCGCCCGCTCTCGGACTTCTCTCCACGGTTCGCCCGCAGCCAGCCCAAGGGGCCCGAGACGCCCTCGCAGGAGGATTTCAACTTGGACTCGACCGCCTCGGAGCTCGACAGCCCGCCTACGAAGAGGACGAAGATCACCAAGAAGACGAGCTCCCAGAGTTGCAGCCCGAAGTACACGCCGATGGCGCCCGTCGGCCTAGACGCGAACGATGTGGAGACGCTGCCGTATCCTAAGGAGGCTACGGTGACGACGACGACGGGAACGACGACGTCGACGACGACGGGAATGACGACGACGACGACGACGACGACGACGACGACGACGACGACGTCGTCGTCGTCGTCGTCGTCGTCGTCACCGTAGCTTCCTCGACAGGGCGAACGATGTGGAGACGATGTGGAGACGCTGCCGTATCCTAAGGAGGCTACGGTGACAACGGCGACGACGACGACGACGACGACGGGAACGACGACGACGACGACGACGACGACGACGACGACGGGAATGACGACGACGACGACGGCGACGACGACGACGACGACGACGACGACGACGTCGTCGTCGTCGCCGTCGTCACCGTAGCTTCCTCGGCAGGGCGAGAACGAGGACGAGGCCGAGGTCGTGCGCATGCCCGAGGTTTCTGTGCCCCCGAGCCCGCTGCCGCCCCAGGACGACGCTGGCGCGCCCCCGAGCCCGCTGCCGATCCAGGACGACGCTGGCGCGCCCCTGAGCCCGCTGCCGATCAAGGACGACGATGACGCGCTCGTGCAGCTCGGGAGGTGGCTCTCGTCGAACTCTGATGACGCTGTCGCGTAGGGCGCTGCCATATAGAGGCAGCGCGCGCTAGCAGTTGTCGGGGGTTGGACAGAACCCCCAACAGTGGCACGTCGATTAGTGAATTGTCCGTTTTCTGTTCTCGAGAGGGCGCCGTGGCCGTTGTTTTCCAGGCTTGCGCCCGCCAGGTTTGGGCTTCAGGTCGTTTTCACTAAACCACGTTTTCCTAAAGGGAGGTCTGTCCATCCCCGAAGTTGGGGGTTCGCTCTGCGTCCCTCGCCCGTTCGAGGGCGTCGCCGCGTCTTTTTCATCTTCTTCGGGCACCTGATCGCTCGTAGCATCAGGTTACGCAGCTCGCTCGACCTAGTTTGAAGCTACTAGATCTAGTACTTGTCCTGGGGGTCAGGACCACTGTTGCACGCGCGTCGAGTAGCACGGAAACGCCATCACCATCACCGTCGTCACGAGATCGCGAGATTACGGGGAGGGGGATCACGGGGAGGAGGATGAGATCACGGGGAGGATGAGATCACGGGGAGGAGGAGGAGGAGGCCACGATGAGGAAGAGGTCATGGGGAGGGGATATCACGGGGAGGAGGAGGAGGAGGAGGTGATCACGGGGGCATTCGGGGTGATGAGATCACGGGGAGGAGGAGGAGGAGGAGGAGGAGGAGATCACGGGGAGGATGAGATCACGGGGAGGAGGAGGGGGAGGCCACGAGGAGGAAGAGGTCATGGGGGGGGGAGATCACAGGGGGGAGGAGGAGGAGGAGGAGGAGGAGGAGGAGGAGGTGATCACGGGGGCATTCGGGGTGATGAGACCACTGGCAGAGCAGCAACAGCAACGCTCGCGCAGGAGCTCGGGGACTGGCTGGCCACGCCGTCGCCGAAGGTCGCGCGCCAGACGCCCAAGGGCGCGCCGTCCACCGAGGGTGACAAGGACGACGCGCGCTTGCTGGCGGTGGCCAAGCGCGCGAAGGCGCTCCCTGGCCGCAAGGCTGCCACCAAGGCCAACGGCGACGACGACAACGACGACGACGGGGCCTGGAAAACTGCCCTACGTCGGGCGTGTGGTCCTGAGGACGACGACCACGAGGACGACGACGACGACGACGCGACGACCCTGGGCGGGGGGTCGTCGTCGTCGCCGTCGTCGTCGTCCTCGTCGTCGTCTGTTCGAGCTTCGAGGGTTTACTTGCTTATCATGCTGTTCCTGGGCCTCCTGGATGCGCCCTCGTGGCCACGGCTGGATCGGCGCTGATATGCAAGCCAGGACGCGTCCCCCGTCGGTATCGTCGTCGTCGTCGTCGTCAGAGTCGCGTCCTCGTCCACGCCTTAGTGAGGAGGAGGAGGAGGAGGAGGGGGGGGGG